GACATTTATGTGATATTTGAGTGTTTGCTTATGAGTAAACTGTTTACCACATTCAGGCCAATCGCACGGGTATTGTATCGGCCCGTTGTCGACCCATTTGTGTCCAGACATTTTGTGGACTTGTATTTGATGTTTGCTAATATTCGGTAAATGACCAGTTCTGTACTCACACGCGGGCCAATCACAAGCGTATGGCTTCACGTTATTGTGACCATTCATATGATATTTAAGCACGTCTTTAGTGGTAAACCGTTTGCCACATTCGGGCCAATCACACCCGAATGGCCGCACGTTGTTGTGCTTATTAGTGTGAAGATTGAGTTGATATTTAGTGACAAACCGTTGGCCACAATCGGGTAAATCGCACGCAAATCGCTTAATATTGTTGTGTCTATTTGTGTGGATTTTTAGGTCACCTTTAGTCTTAAACCGTTTGCCACATTGTGGCCAATGGCACGGGTGGGCTCTCACTCTGTTGTGGACCAGTTTATGATTACTCAGATTGGGTCCCATATACTGACATCCGGGCCATTGGCAGCGCTTTATTTCATTGTATGTTTTGGCCGTCAGTTTGACAACAGGTGCCGACGACTGGCTCTTAATATCACTCAATGCTTTCGACAGCCGGTGCTGTTGTAAGTGTGTCCTCACGTGTTGTGTAAAATCAGTTTTACAACTGGTCTTGAATTGACACCAATGGCGTTGACAACGAAAGTGTGGGATAAATGTCTCGCTTTTTCTCAGACAACACTTTCGTTGGCATTGTTTTGATGGCATTTCGGACAACGGCTGGCTTTTAACATCACTCAATGCCTTCAATAGCAGTTTGTAATCGTCGGCTGAGTGTATGAATATCACGTGTTGTGTTAAATCTGGTTTATAACTGGTTTTGTATTGACACCCATTGTGTAGACAACGAAACTCTGTCTCTGTTTTGTGCGTTAAGTGTCGGATAAATGTCTCGCCTTTTCTCAAGACTTGACTGCCATTCAGACAACTCTTTTGTTTGTTTTTAGATATCAATTGTTTTGATGGCATTTCCATCGAGTCTTCACTACTCTTCCCATTCATTAATTGGTGTTTTTGTTTGTCTTTATTTACCATCTCTTGTGATGACTGAGATGTCGATGGCTTTGAAGTATTGTTCAATAGTGTCTGCATTCCTGTATTCATCGGTTTCACACAATTATCTTCGGGTTCTTGTTTGACATCTGATCCCAAGTGGAGATCATTCATGTGTTGATCCAAGTGTTGAAACAAATGCTGTTTTGATGTGAATATCATCTGACAGTCAGTGACTCCACACCTGAAGACTGGGCTGAGTTTGTGCACAACCAACAACAGTAGGTAAGTTGGATCACTTCTTGTGTTTCATCTAATTATTGATCATTTGATGGACTCTTCAGTTGAAACTCATATTAAGTGCAAAACTAAACAACAATTGAATCAAAAAATGTAAACAAAAACTCAAACCATAAAAGAAGTGAAGGGATTGTCTATTACAGTAATTACGTAAACAATTATTTGTTATACATTTCAATACAAAGTTTTTAATTATCGATAATTTTATCAAATTTCTAAGAAATACAGAACTTATATAAAAATTTAAATAAATATAAAAATTGAATTAAATATTCAATTGTTTATTATTGCTGTTAATGGCGTCCAAACCAGTAATCAACTCATGTGATCACTACCTCCACAGCAATCGTCTCATTTTAATGCTATTTATTCCATCATTTAATGTATTAATTGATAAATGCTATAAATTAATTAATTATTATTAATTATTAAAATGCTATTAATTATAAAATTAATAATTTTTGATTTATCTAAATATAAATATTGAACATTAAATACAATAATAATAATTAAAATAATGATTATATTTTGTGGACATGTTTTTTGTGGAGCCGAATATTAGGCGCATAGTGTGTCCTAAACTGACATTCAGGCCAATCGCAGGCATACGGCTTGACGTTGTTGTGGACATTCATGTGGTCAGTGAGCGTCGGTTTAGAGGCAAACTGTTTACCACATGCGGGCCATAAACACGCGAACAGTTTTTTATGTGTGTGGCCGGTTTGCTTTTTGTGGACATACCTTTTATGGGCATAAATACTGGTCATATTGCCTGACCTGTACTCACATTCCGGCCAATCGCACGCATAGGGCTTAACATTTTGGTGGACATTCATGTGATACCGGAGTGTTTGCTTAGCAGTAAACGATTTCCCACATTCAGGCCAATCGCACGAGTATTGTTCCATCCCGTTGTCGTCCCATTTGCGTCCATACATTTTGTGGACTTGTATTAGATGTATGCGAATATTCGGTAACTGACCGGTTCTGTACTCACACGCGGGCCAATCACACGCGTATGGCTTCACATTATTGTGACCATTCATGTGATATTTAAGCACGTCTTTAGTGGTATACCGTTTACCACATTCGGGCCAATCGCAGGCAAATGGCCGGAAGTTGTTGTGCTTATTAGTGTGAAGATTGAGTTGATATTTAGTGACAAATCGTTGGCCACAATCGCGTAAATCACACGCAAATGGCTTAATATTGTTGTGTCTATTTGTGTGGAATTTGAGACCACTTTTAGTGTTAAACCTTTTGCCACATTGTGGCCAATGGCACGCGTGTGGCCTCACTTTGTTGTGGACCAGTTTATGACGAGTCAGTTGGGTTCCCATATACTGACATCCGGGCCATTGGCAGCGCTTTATGTATTTTTTGGCCGTCAGTTTGACAACAGGTGCCGTCGGCTGGCGTTTAAGATCACTCAATGTCTTCAATGCCAGATTGTAAGCGTCGACTTCGTGTGCCCTCACGTGTTGTGTTAAATCATTTTTAGAAAAGCCTTTGTATTGACACCCATTGTATAGACAATTAAATTGTGTGTCGCGGATGAATGTCTCGATTTTGCTTAAGACTTGACTGTCATTCAGACAACACTTTTGTTTGCTTTTAGATATCAATTGTTTTGATGGCATTTCTATCGAGTCTTCACTACTCTTCCCATTCATGTCTTTGTTTACCATCTCTTGTGATGACTGAGATGTCGATGGCTTTGATGTGGTGGTCAATAGTGTCTGCATTTCTGTATCAATCGGTTCCACACAATTATCTTCGGGTTCTTGTTTGACATCTGATCCCAAGTGGAGATCATTCATGTGTTGATCCAAGTGTTGAAACAAATGCTGTTTTGATGTGAATATCATCTGACAGTCAGTGACTCCACACCTGAAGACTGGGCTCTCAAACACGTGTTGGTTGTTGTCATCCATTGTTGGATCACTTCTTGTGTTTCATCTAATTATTGATCATTTGATGGACTCTTCAGTTGAAACTCATATTAAGTGCAAAACTAAACAACAATTGAATAAAAAAAATGTAAACAAAACTCAAATTCAATTGAGAAGTGAAGGAAATTAATTACGTAAACATTTATTTTTACAAATTGTTATACATTTCTAGGGAAATAACACCCGCCTGGGCATTTCGGGCGTAAGGCGCCCGCCGGCCGCTTATAAGGGCGCGTATTTTGTCCGCCCGGCGTCCGTCATATCGACGGTATTTTGTATTTTTCTCGAAAACTACTATAAATAGTAAAACCAAATGTTTTTCATAATATTGTCGTCATTGATGCGCGCATTTTAAGCCATCTAACATAGATGTCAGACCTACTGATCAATCGGTAGATTTATTCAATAGTGGTGCCCTATGAGTGCTACATGTATAAGAAATCCAAGATGGCCGGACAGTGTTATGAATGGGTGATAACATTATACAATGACTTGATTGTCTCAGCCCTGGGTCCGAGACCGATGGCAACAAACTGATGCTTCATAATTGACTTCATACCACATCATATACTATAAGTATGTCCTCAGACACTCAATGATCAACACAGTGATCAACTCTATAGTCAACGCTCTGTGAACAACAATTTACTAAACTTATGAATACGAGTTAATGAGTAATTCAATTGATAGTGAAATTGAAATCAATGATTAGTATGACATTCAATCATATTATATCAATCATATAAATGGCAATCACTGGCCAGCGGTCTCGGACCCAGTGCCGCACATCCCTTCATTATACCAATTGATTAAATAACTATTGAACCATTCATAATTATGATAATTAAATGATAAATATAATGAGTTTAAATAAAACACGTTTTATTTATATTATAAAGTATGTGTGTTTGTTATTTATAATTGTCTTGTTAAGATTAGATTGAGGATCAGGTCATTCTTCGCCATTGACCCCACCCGACCAACCGGTGCACTGGGTCCGTGACCGCTGGCAAATGGCAATGATTGTGCATACATCCGAGTTAACCAATTTTAAGTTGTGTATAAACTGACATATAGCTGTTAGTGTTTTCCATTAAGTATTAGCCACCAAATGAATGACAAAGATTGTGAGCGGCCGAGTGCTCCCGTCGGTTGAATGATATGATTTTGTTGTTGTATATGCGATGAATGGTTAACACATTCAATTTGTTGTGTGTTTCATAGTAACACTTGTTTAATATGATTGGCTGTCAATATAGTCACATGTGTAATGAGCAGTAGTGGTACATGTGCTGCCATCCAACGACTACTCATTTTTGTGGCACCCGCCAGGCGGAACGCCCATGGGCGGACGCCATTGAAGGCGCTTATAGGAATAAACGCCAAATTTATATTCCCTATACATTTCAATACAAAGTTTTAATTATCGGTAATTTTATCAAAAATTCAAATAGTGTACAGAAATACAGTATTTATATAAACATTAAATAAATGTTAAAATTGAATCAAATATTAAATTGTTTATTATTGTTGTTAATGGCGTCCAAACCAGTGATCAACTCAAGTGATCACTACCTTTGCAACCATCGTCTCATTTTAATGCCATTTATGCCTTCTTTTAATTAATACAATGCTATAAATTAATTAATTATTATTAAATACTATTAATTATTCAATAAATAAATTTTGATTTATTAAAATATAAATATTGGATATTAAATACAATTGTAATTACAATTTGATTATATTTTGTGGACATGTTTTTTATGGAGCCGAACATTAGGCGCATAGTGTGTCCTAAACTCACATTCAGGCCAATCGCAGGCATACGGCTTGACGTTGTTGTGGACATTCATGTGGTCAGTGAGCGTCGGTTTATGACTAAATTGTTTACCACATTCAGGCCATAAACACGCGAACAGTTTTTTATTTTTATGGGCGCCGCCGGTGTGCACATGCTTTATATGGGTATAAAGATAGGACCGATGGGCTGACCTGTACTCACATTCGGGCCAATCGCACGCATAGGGCTTAACATTTTGGTGGACATTCATGTGATACCGGAGTGTTTGCTTATGAGTAAACTGTTTCCCACATTCAGGCCAATCGCACGGGTATTTTATCGTCCCGTTGTCGACCCATTTGTGTCCAGACATTTTGTGGACTTGTTTTCTATGTTCATGAATACTCGGGTAATACGCGGTCCGGTACTCACATGCGGGCCAATCACACGCGTATGGCTTCACGTTATTGTGAACATTCATGTGATATTTAAGAGGTGAACTTGCTAAAAAGCGTTTGCCGCACCCTGGCCAATCGCACGCGTACGGCCTCACGTTGTTGTGGTTATTCATGTGAATATTATGTTGTCCTTTAGTGACAAACCGTTGGCCACATTCAGGCCACTCACACGCAAACGGTTTAGTATTGTTGTGAATTTTCATATGTAATCTGAGGTTTGTGTTAGAGATGAAGCGTTTACCACATGCGGGCCATAAGCACCGGTAGGGTCTCTCGCCGGTGTGTCTCCGCGTGTGACACTTCATATCTCTTCCCACGTACTCACATCCGCGCCATTGACAGCGTTTTAAGCCATGTTTTGCCAGCAGTTTGTGAGCTTCTAATCGATGTCTATTCAATTGCATTGCCGTACGAAACGTATGGTCACAGCCGTCGGACTCGCACTTAAATCTATGTAACAAATAGTGAATTTAATGCATTAAATATCGCGGAAACAGTTGGCGTCACAATCCCTCTCACCCTTCAGTAGGGAAGTGTGTCTTCAGATGTCTTCGAAACCATTCATTAGAATTACAGTTAAATTTGCAGCCATTGTGTGAACAATGAAATAATTTGACATTTGTGTGAACCAATTCATGTCTATGTAAATCACGCGTTGTGTGAAATGCTTTACCACAGCCCTCGTAAGTACACGTGTGCTGTTTTGTTGTATGAGTTGTCCGCAAATGGCCCGCAAAGCTACTGTCGTTTTTGAAACTCTTGTGGCACTCATTTATGGGACAAATGTATGCTTTGAGAGTCATATCAAAGCATTCAAATCTTAGGGCTCTATTTAGTGGTGTCTTTCCACTCATGTCTTTGTTGACCATCTCTTGTGATGATTGAGAAGTCGATGGCTTTGAAGTGCTGTTCACTTGTGTCTGCATTTCTGTATCCATCTGTTCCACACAATTATCTTCGGGTTCTTGTTTGACATCTGATCCCAAGTCGAGATCATTCATGTGTTTATCTAAATGTTTATACAAATCCTCTTTTGATTCAAATATCATCTGACAGTCAGTGACCCCACACTTCAACGCCAGGCTCTGGGGTTTGGCGGCAATAAGTCTGGTTTCCACGGGTTTACTGCTGTTGTTGTCAAACATGTCTTCATTTACTCCTTCATTGTTGTCATCCATTGATTGCATCACTTTTTGTGTCTCTGTTTTCCCCTTCCATTCAAACCATTGTTTTCCTCTGCGATAGCTATGCGTCCGTCGGTTGTGAACCGACACCCGATGTCTCAGGCGTTGGGAAAACGTATGAAACATATCATTACAGCCTTTGGTCTCACACTTAATGGCCGGTCCGGACCCGTGTGTCAAGCGGTGGACATTCAACTCATTCTTCGACATGAATGTCATCTGAGAGTCATTGACAGGACATGAGTTCACTTCAACTATTCCTACTGTTGAGTGTGTCTTCAGATGTGCTAACAATAACTTACTGGTAACGCATTTATAGTAACAGTCGTTATAATGACATTTATATGATTTAATTATATTGTGTTTTGTTTTCATGTGTTCTAACAAATAATCGTTATTAAAGGTGTGATAATCACATCCATTTACATCAATCATTCATGTGTTTATCTAAATGTTTATACAAATCCTCTTTTGATTCAAATATCATCTGACAGTCAGTGACCCCACACTTCAACGCCAGGCTCTGGGGTTTGGCGGCAATAAGTCTGGTTTCCACGCGTTTGCTGTTGTTGTCAAACATGTCTTCATTTACTCCTTCATTATTGTCACCCATTGTTTGGATCACTTCTTGTGTCTTTGTTTTCCCCTTCCATTCAAACCATTGTTTTTCTCTGCGATAGCTATACGTCCGTCGGTTGTGAACCGACACCCGATGTCTCAGGCGTTGGGAAAACGTATAAAACATTTCATTACAGCCTTTGGTCTCACACTTAATGGCCGGTCCGGACCCGTGTGTCAAGCGGTGGACATTCAACTCATTCTTCGACAAGAATGTCATCTGAGAGTCATTGACAGAACATGAGTTCACTTCAACTATTCCTACTGTTGAGTGTGTCTTCAGATGTGTTAACAATAACTTATTGGTAACGCATTTATAGTAACAGTCGTTATAATGACATTTATATGATTTAATTATATTGTGTTTTGTTTTCATGTGTTCTAACAAATAATCGTTATTAAAGGTGTGATAATCACATCCATTTACATCATGGTAACGCATTTATAGTAACAGTCGTTATAATGACATTTATATGATTTAATTATATTGTGTTTTGTTTTCATGTGTTCTAACAAATAATCGTTATTAAAGGTGTGATAATCACATCCATTTACATCACATCTCAAGACATTATCCGTTGAGTGTCTCTTCAGATGTAGTTTCAAATTGTAATCACTAATGCCGTTATATTGACAGCCATTGTGTGGACAATGAAATGATTTGATATTTTTGTGAACCAATAGATGTTTTTCTAAACCATCCTTTGTTTTATAGGCTTTACCACAGCCCTCATGAGTGCACGTGTATTGTCTTGAGGCGTGATTTCTATATAAATGCATCGCAAAGTTGCGGTCAGTTTGGAAACTCTTGTGACACTCATTTATGGGACAAATGAATGCATTTGTATTCAAATCAAAGCATTTCTTTCTTTCGGACTGATTTATAGCCAATAATTGAGACATCGATTCAATTGATGTCATTTCCATCGAGTCTTCACTACTTTCATCATTCATGTCATTGTTTGCCATCTCTTGTGATGATTGAGATGTCGATGGCTTTGAAGTGGTGTTCACTTGTGTTTGCATTTCTGTATCCATCGGTTCCACACAGTAATCTTCGGGTTCTTGTTTGACATCTGATCCGAAGTCGAGATCATTCATGTGTTGATCCAAGTGTTGAAACAAATGCTGTTTTGATGTGAATATCATCTGACAGTCAGTGACTCCACACCTGAAGACTGGGCTCTCAAACACGTGTTGGTTGTTGTCATCCATT